GTACGTCGTCGATGGAGGCGGCGATGGCCTCGAGCTGCTCGCCGTAGAGGCTGGAGAAGAGATAGGACCGACACAGGGAGCTGCACACGAACTGGCGGTACTTGCGCACCCGCTCCAGGTCGACTTCCACCGGCGTTGCGTGCACGTAGGCCAGCTCGGCCTGCTTCTGCGACTCACGGAACCTGCGCTCGCAAGTCAGTTCCACACACGCAACACGCAACACACACACGCACGATACACACCACCACACCACACACACACACAACGTACATGGCGCTGGGCAGGGACAAGAGGGTGACGCCCGTGCGGGCGACTACGGTGGCGGTCCGCTTGGCCTGGTGGTCGCAGCCCAACGCGGACTCGCCGAAGAACTGGCCCCGCCCCAAAGACCGAACCAGCCGCCTCTGCTCGCCCTGCACCCGTGAACCTTCAGTAAACCAGGCATGTCGCGTGTGTCGTGGTGTAGCATGTGTCGTGTCATGTCGTCACGTGCGTGTCGTCGTGTGTCGTGTGATGTGTGTCGTGTCGTGCCTCTTCCTGGTAGACGTCGAGAACTCCAGCGACGATGAGATAGAAGCACGACGTGACTTCGCCTTCTCTGTAGTGGAAAAAAATGTGAGCAGTCGGCCTAAAAGAACGAAAGGAAGAACGAAATGGGAGGAAAGGTGCACTGACTTGACGACGACGTCGCCCGGCTGGCGGGTCTCCTCGGTACACGCGGAGAAGAGGCGGGACACGCGCGCCGGGCTGAGGTTGCGGAAGTACCACACGTCGCAGAACATTCTGAACAGCAGGCTCGCGCGCGAGTAGCCCTCGGCGTACTTGGACACCGCCAACGCCACCTGAGCCACGCCCAGCAAATGTCAGCGCACTCCAAGTCGATACACGACACACACGACACACACGGCTCGCGGCACGACACACCACACACGGACCGTTTCTTCGGTTTGTGGGCGCTTGAGGTGGGTGACTTTGACGCGCAGCTTGTTGCCCTCCGAGGTCTCGGTCTCCACGTACTCGGGGATGCCCGAGCAGTGCACGATGTACAGCTTCTTCTTGATGCTCTCCGGCAGGTTATTCAAATCTGTACGTGTGCATGCGTGTGTGCGGTGGTGTGTGCGCGTG